GGGGCGCACCGATGAGCGCGGGGCGTGGCCGTATCGCGCCTAGCCGTCGAGCCGCGGGGCGCGCCGCGCCGCGCGGCCGGCTGGTCACAGCGAGGTTCAAGGGCGCAAGCCCCCGCGAGTGCCTGCCGCGCGTGCGGGGGGCACGCTGACGGGACTTCCAGCAGAGCTGCACGCCGCGCGCCGCTTGCATCTAGGGCGGCGGGCCGCGCAGGGGAGCCCACCTGCACGTTGGCGGACGCGGTCTGGCTGGCAGTAGACGCGCGGACGGCATTGTTGTTCACGGTCAGGCCGGTGCCCTTAGTGGTGACGGCGGCAATGCCCGCGCCCTTCGCCGCGCCAGCCGCCGCGTTGTTGTTGCGCACCGCCTGCTGCACGGCGGACGAGGCGGCCTGGCTGCCGACGGCGGTGCGGGTGCCCTGGTTGGCGCGGCTGACGGCCTGGGTGGCGGCGATGCGGCCCTGGATGTCGGTGGTGGAGCCGGACCGGGCGCCGGCCTGGACCTGGTTGGACAGCACGCCGCCGCCGCCGGTCCTGAGGGCAGGAGTGCGGGAGGTGGAGAAAACCAAGAGACAGGGGTGTCATTCGACGGAGGTGCCGCCCGGCTGAGCGGCCGGCTGGGCAGGGCGGGCTGCGCGGCGCTTGTGGCCCGGCGCGAGGCAGGAATGGGCGTGCTGTCTGTTTGCCGGGCCAAACGCATGCGCAAACCGGGGGGCAGGGGGGCTTGTTTGGGTGAAGGCACATGCCACAAACCTGACAGTGTTCTTAGCGTCGATGACGTTGGTGCCCGTCACGGTGGACGTCCGGATGGGGCCCGCGTTTGTCTTGGGGGACGCCGCCGGGGCGGCGCCGGAGGCCGCGCGGTTGCCGGACGCGGGGGACGCCGGTGTGGTGGTGACCTGCAGAATGTCACGCGCGGCTGCGGGGGGCGGGGGGCAGGGCGCGTGCGGGGCATGAGGCCGGGGCGGCGATGCTGACGTGCCAAAGGCGCAGATCGCGCGTTTGAGGATGACCTTCCTGCAAAGTCTTCCCGGTGCGCACTCGGCTGCTGTGACGGGCTCATGCGTCCCTCATGTGTAAGCATCGCGCATGTGCACCCGCGCACCTGCGCTGTGAGCGGAGAACGCCAGGCCGAAGGCCAGCATGACGGCGATGGAGCGCTGCATGGTTGACGCTTGCTGGGTAAGACTCAGGGGTTTACTTATTGTTTCGACGTATGCGATAGAGTGAGGACAGACGCGTTTGAGCGGCTGTCTTGGGTATCGAAGTAACTTGGTCACCGCACCACGCACCCGCATTACTCAGCGCGCAGGTTACAACGGTGCGGCGGGTGACGGGTTACCAAAAGTATGCAAATTACGCATCAACGAATATCAAGACGCAGCCGTGACGTTGACGCAAGCGCGTGGTGCCATGCTGACGCCACTCACCTGCCAAGCGCACTTCCTGCGCGCTCCGGTGCCTGCTTTTGTGCTGCGAGGCCTTGGCGCTGCGCACGATATAGACCAGCCAAAGCTTGAGGGGCAATAGCTTGCTGTTTGCAGCGCTTGCAGGCACGCGTGAGTGTGCAATGCCGGGCGGAGTGCATGGCAGCCACATAGGGCTTGTGTGATACCAACGCCACCCCAACAACGCTGCCGGTGGAGCCATACAGGCCGCATGGAGTGCCAAGGCCCGGGCACCCAGGGTGTTGCGAACCACCAGCGCTGCGCTCACCCCATGGGGCCAGCATCGAGCGCATGGGCGGCAGAGGGTTGCCACCATGCCATGGTGCGGCTGTGCGAACCGTTCAGCACCAGGCCCCCTTTCACGCTGCCTGTCATCTCCCGTCACCCTCGCGTAATGCAGCCCCACTGTATGTTGCAGCAGCTGTCACGGTTACATCGTTACAGCGGGGCAGAACACGCGGTTTGAAGGAGCTGTTGAAAAGTAATGCAGTGAGACACATGTTTGTGCTCGATCGCAGAGCATCCGACGCTGAGTTCGTGGGGATGCGCCTAGTGTAAAATGGATGCGCCCACCTGGGGCAAATTTTTAAACAGAGTTCAAGCGGCATGATGCACCAACCGTGCACCATTTCGAGATTCAAGGGGCAAAAAGCTGCCGTGGCTGAACTAGGAACTAGCAGAAAGATGGTAGCTTAAGAACAACAGCCAGCAAGCACAACGTGGATCCATTACGGGCCGACATGCACGGATACCAGCCAAGCAAACAGGCAGGGACATGCTTGGGAGAGACCGTAGGTTTTGGTGCTGATTTGGGGCCGATGCGTGCAGCTGGCCGGCGACGCAACTTGCGCCGTGCAAGCGTGGCAAATTCTTTGGAGAAGCTGATCCGGGAAATTTTTGAACAGAGCGCCTTCAGCTCAAACTGTGGCAGCCGAGGACGCGGCGAGCTCCTTCATTGCAAATCAAAGGGGCAAGGCCGGCGGCACAGGCCAAGCGACCGTCCACGTCGCAGCGGCGGGATTCTTTGGTTGTGGTGGGTTGTTCATTTTTTGCCAGCGAAGCTGGTGCGCACCTGGGATGCCTTGGCCTGGAATTGCCCAGTCCCGGTGGCAGCAGCGGCGGAGGTGCGGCCCTTCGCGGCGGCCTGCGAACGGGGAGAAGGGAGGTGGGCGCGCGTCCGTCAGGGCCTTGCAGTACGCAAGCAAATGCAAGCAAGGGCACGAGCGCCGCAAGAGAGTCGTGTGGGCATTCCGAAGGTGTCGAATCGGATGAGGGCAGCAAGCTCGCAAGCTGCGTGTCCAAGAGTCGCTCTGCTGGCAGCGGCACCGTGTGACCAATTACCCGCCAGGGGCGGCCACGTGTGTCAGGGCATCAAACTCCAGAGTTGCGCCGTGCTCAGCGGCAACGCCGTGGCACCGCAGTGCGCGCACCTGCATCGCAGCTGCAGTATTCTTCGATGCTGTCGACGCGCGGTTGACCGGCTGGTTGACCGTGAACCCCCGGCCCTGCGCGGTGACCGCCGCGATGCCGGCGCCCTTTGCAGCGCCGGCCGCCGCATTGTTGGTGCGCACCGCCTGCTGCACCGCCGACGACGCCGAGGTGCTCCCGACGGCGGTGCGGGTTGCGGGGGTTGCGCGGCCGGCCGCCTGGGTCGTGGCGAGCGCGCCGCGGACGTCGGTGGTGGCGCCGCCGCGGGTGGCGGCCTGGACTTGCTGGCCGACCACGCGCCCAGAGCCGTCCCTGGGGGGGCCCGCGGGGTGGGGCGCGCGCGTGTGCCGGCGTGCGGCCTGAGGCGAGCGTTTCAGAGTCAAGCAAGGCTGTGGTGGGGCGAGTCAGTCACAGGGGATAGGGCGTCTGGGAGTCAGGAGGGCAGTAAGGCAGGCGCGCGCGCCAGGTGGCACTCGTGCGTCATGCAATCGGCGGTGGTCGCTGGGGCGGCTCTGGCTGCGGCGGCTGCTACGGCTGCTGCGGCTGCTGCGGCGGCTGCGGCTTGCCTGCGTGTGGGTCGGCGACCAGGACGTTTGTCCCCGGCTTTGTGTTCTGCAGGGCCGGGTTGACCTGCGCCCTTGAGCTCTCTACTGCACGAGCATGGAAGCGGCCGAAGGAGCGGGCGGCGCGCGCAGGCGGGGGACGCCGTCAGGAGACGTCAGGCCGTGTGGTGGTTGACGGAGTTCCACAGTGGGCCCTCGTTAGGGGCAGGCACTGCAGCAATCAATCAACGCTGCCAGCTGCAACGCCCGAATGTGCTCCGAGCAGATTTTGATAATAGAACCCACTCATCCGCACCCGCCGAAAGGACGAGGACGAGGGCCAGCGTCACAAAGATGCCGCGCGCCATTCTGCTAGGATCGTCCTTGCTGCAAAAAGAAGAACAACAAGGGGAATAAGATGAGTCAAGCACCTTCCAAATGTGCTTATGAAGAGCTGGTGTGGTGACAGCGGGTGTGGCTGTTGAGTGGCTGTGCAGCCGTTCGTTGCACGACGGCCCGCGACGACCCGCCGGCGACTTTGCGACCTAATGATATTTCTGGAGTGCTGCCAAACATGGATCGCAGATTAAAAAACCTTGGAATCATGCAGGCAGCTGCGGTTTGTTTTTGTTCCAAAGAGGCTGCCACATATGCCAGGGCTGTGCTCTGCAGGAGCTTGCCAAGTGGTAGTCAACTGGCGGTTGACTGTCGCAAGTCGACTTCATTTCGGACGGCAGGGGGGGCTGTCAGTCAGAGCCGGCGGCGGGGCGTGCCGCCGCCGCCATGAGACTGGCTGTTGCACACCGGATGTGCATCAACCATCTGATATCAGCAAGTGCCGCTCATTGCATTGCTTGATTTCATAACGGCTCGGCCCCCACGCATTCTGCAAGTGCGGAGGTGCCGTCGCCTAGTCAGGGATACCTCACAGACCCAACATGTTGGCCTTGCCTGTGCTGCGGCAGCAGATGATCAATCAAGCAAGCGGGTACGCGGGTGTAGTGCGGTCCACATCAGCAATGGAGCCGGGCCCAATGCACGGCCAAGGTGCATCACCCGGCATAGGGTGTACTTGGAGGAACGCGTGCCTACCATACAGGACGGCGTGCAAGCGATGGCACGAATGCACAGCGTCAAGCATTGCACACGCAACACGGATGTCTTGCACCGCCTGTGTGTGACAGCAGTGAGCTGATCAGTGCTGACTGCGCCGCACCTTTGACCCTTAGATATGTACGGTAGCCGCCAAGGTAGCATCCAATCGTGCCGTCAGTATATCGAAGATACATATCCGAACCGTTGGCTCATGCAGGGTGAACGCGTTGTGGCGATCTGCCCCTCTGCGATCTGATAACGAACGACTGCGAATGCTGCGGGCATGGTTAGCTGCTCTCTCTTGTACTGAAATCAAGCATAACTTTGACAGGATGCTGCTGGCCCAGGGCCTGCAGCGGGGTTGGGGTCCAGCGCCCACCCGCCCCCGCCGCGCCTCTACCGCTGCGGCCGGCGCCGTGGCCGGGCGATTTGTTGCAGCGGACCGGGCGCCGGCGGGCCCGGGGGATTCCTTGGCGGATGTGGACACGCCGGCGTTGCTGCTGGACTTGGATGGTGCGCCGCGCGCTTGGGTGCCAGCACGAGGGTCTGCAAGATTCTTGACCCACCGGCTGATGATGCATCAGAAAGCGTGCCCGTGCGGCCATGGACGTGCTTTGTGCTCTGTATTTCCGCAAAAATCTGTGTTTGTCCTGGTGTGCCCCCAGCTGCACCAGCCCTCTGCTATTTATGCACGTTTGTTCTCAGGCACCTTGGGCTATGAGTCGCCCCACGTGCGCCGCCCGGCTCGCCGCTTCCACCACCGCCCGCCGTCGGCAATATCCTGCCTGCAGTGTTTGAAAGCAACTGCGAGAAGCTGCGGCGCACCATGGCGCAGTTCCCTGGGGTCTCCATACGGCCGCACGCCAAGGTGCGGCTGTCACGAGGCGTTGACCTTCGGTCAACCGTGAGATAGGGTGCCACCAGCCCCCCTTCACGCCTGGTGTCCTGAGGCAGCACACTGAGCGACCGAAGCGTATTGAATAAAGGCCAATGCATAGCGAGTGCTGTCACCAGTCTTTCAAATGCAACCACAAGGACGCGACACAACTCCATGTATGCAACCCTGGAACAGGCCCACAAGTCACCCGAGGTGGCGGCGCTGCAGCTGAAGCTGCTGGGGGCGCAGGCCCAGGGGGTGTGCGCCCAAAAGGTGCGACAGCCCCCATACATGACCGCAGGGGGGGGGGGTGAGTCATCTTTCCGCATGCCTGATTCCTCACACACAGGAGGCCTGGAGGGCGCTGCACCTGGGGGATGCGGCGCGGCGGCTGCGGCTGGCTTCTACTTCGTGCCTTGCTGTTGGAACGCGACAGCCCGCTGACCACGCAGACACTAGCCTGATGGCCAGTCTCAAGCATCCTGCCCCTCACGCAGCATTTCAAATGTTCAGCACTCCCAGGCTCGAGCATCCACCCCATGGAGCATTCGCAGCGTCTGCCGGGCGCGTCCTTACTGCAAGCCACCCTCGACCGTCCGTTGCCCTTGACGCCAGGCCACCGCGCAACCACCCTCTGCCAGGTCAGCGAGGCTGAAGCCCTGGTGGCTGGGGGCATAACGGACGTGCTGGTGTCCAATCAGGTGACTGAGGCGAACGAATAGGTCTCTCTTTGATACCGCCAGCTGCCGGCTTGCACGCGTCAAGCCTAGTTGCGAGGGTGAAATTCCCAAGCCCCTCTGCACGCTGGTGGCTTCACCAGCCCCGCCAGCAGCACGGCCGCCCGCGCAGCGCAGAGCCACCCGCCGGCGCCGACCGCCGCAGCGGCGCTGCGTGGCTCTGCCGATCAGCAGAGTACGGACCGCGTCGATGCAGCGATTATGCTGCCACTGTCGTGTGTCGCATTGACCAAAAGTGCGCAAGCGTACGAACACACACACACACACACACACACACACACCTGCTTGGGTATGACCAGGTCGTGGCCCCTCAGAAGCTGCGGCGCCTGGCGCGGCTGGCAGCACGCGGTGGGCAGGGGGCAGTTGGCTGGGCCAAGAGGGGCGGCGGCGAGCGAGGGGGGGGGGCGCTCCTCAGGCGCGCATTTGAGCCTGAGGCACGTCGGCGTCTCTCACGCGGCCTGCAGGAGACCGTGGTTGTCCTCCGCCCATGACAAACCCCTTGCTTTAGTAGAGACAATCTCCCAACCCTTACTCTGCAGGCTGACTTGCTGCGGCACGTCCCAGCCCCAACCGCCATTGACCCTCGCGCGCCCCCACCTTTGTCTACCTGCCCCACCCTCACAACCCTGCTCTCTCTCAAGGCGCGACCGTCGGCGTGTGTGTCGACGACGCGGGGGCGCTGCGCGCGCTCGCCGCGGCGGCCGAGGCGGAGGGCACGGTGGTCAACGTTCTGGTGGAGGTCAACGCCGGCCAGGACAGGCGCGCCCAGCAATTCGACGTTATGATTTATGTTGTTGTAGCACAAAACTTCTTGAAATTCTCGATTTTATTGTCAAAACAAATACGCAAAAATTGCTTTGCTGTCGGCGCCCCTGGGACGCCCGCCGCACGCTCGCTCGCTGCCGGTGGCTGCGCGGAAACGCAGAGACCGGCGCACAACGCCGCCCGTGCGCCGGCCAGGGCTGGCAGTGTGCATCTTGAGGGTGCTCTGGACGCAGGCGGCCCGTGGGATGCCAAAACAACGCGCATGCAGGAACCCTGCGCTCGCCGGTGTGTCGGGCCAGCGCAGACCAAAGGCGCAGGCAGCTCGCATGTCAGCTGCAGCCCTTACGGGCCGCCTTGCCTTCCATCCGGTCTGTCGGAACAACCACCGCCATCGCATCCATCCCGCCCGCATTGCATCCCTCTGGCCCATCAACAGGTGCGGCGTCGAGACGCCAGCGGAGGCTGCCGCGCTCGCAGAGGCCGCGGCGGCGCTGGGGCCGGCGCGGGGCGTGCGCTTTGCTGGGATCCAGGCCTACCACGGTGGGCGCACTTGCGGGGACGGCATCCCGCCTGGCTGCCTGCAGTAAGAACCGGCTTTGCCACGGACAGCGCTCTGGGGTAGTGAGGGACAGACAACCCCAAAGTGTGGTGATGTAGGTTCTATCCTTTTCCAAGGGGTTTCCGTTGCGCCCAAACGCCATGAACGCACTCATGACCGCTCAACCCTGCCCTCAATCCCTCATTTGGTGCGTCCCAACCTAACATCCCCCAGGCGGCCTGCAGCACGTGAGGGACCCCCGGGAGCGCGCGACGGCGGTCGCCGCCGTCGCGGCGCGCGCGCAGGCCGCGGTGCGCGCGGTGGAGGGCGCGGGGCTGCGCTGCGGGGTGGTGACGGGCGGGGGGTCTGGCACGTACCCCCTTGAGGCGGGCAGCGGCGTTTTCACAGAGGTGCAGCCAGGTGCGGGCCTGAAGGGTGCTTCTGCCTTTCTTGGGCCGCAGCTGTTGTGTTGGGGCTGTGGGGGGCGGGCGGGGACTACGGTGCTGCCGGGGAGGTGGGGATGTAGGGCAATCCCTGAAAAGTGCCCCTCCAACCACTGCATGCGCAGCAAGCCGACCCGCCGTTGACCACGAAGCCGATTCCCACACCCATACTTTGACGCTCAACATCACACGCCTGATTGCCTCCCAAAGCAGGCGTCCGACAGGAGTTGCAACTGCCCATACCCCCCGCCAAACTTCCTTACCACGCATGCCAACACATTGCATGCAAACTGTCAAACTTTGTCCCTTGATCCAACAAGGGTCGTTCTGCCTGGGCGACGCTGATTACGCCCGGAACCGCCAGGCCGACGGGGGCGCAGGGGAGTGGGGGGGCGCGGCGGGCTCGCAGGCGCTCTGGATTCTCACACAGGTGAGCGGAGTGCTGGGTGT